TCCAACACTATTTCAAGTACTCCTAAGGTCTATCCTAGTTGGCATTAACTATTTGACTAGTCCATGATTAACGCTTCACTCAACATCTAATACATTGCTTCAAAACTTTTTGAGTTGCATCCCACAGTATTCAAAGCTCTCCAAGTGTCCACCTCAGCACCATGTGACTCTTTGATTGGTCAAACATTCAAATCAAAACATTATAAAGGTTTAAATGGTCAAACTTGCTTAAACTTTCTATCTCTCCCAACCTAGGCCACTTTCACTTGTTCAAATCATCTACAGAGCCTTACTAAGCACCAGTCTAACCTAACATAGCCACTAGTGCAGCCCTAAACAACTCGAGTGGTCCCTTTCATTTTGAATGATTCCAAGTCATTTCCACCTTCTCCAAGTCACCTCCCTATTAATTCCCTACCAGCTAGAGATAGATGTCCAGCATCCACACAAACCACATGATTGATCCTAACAGTCAAAGTGGGCTCCAACAACTAAATTTGGCAAAACCACTTGAAACCTTCATAGAGCTTTCATTCTCAACCTAGTCGCTTTGTAGTACATCACTAGTTTCATTTCATTTCCCCAGAGCTTTCCCAACATTTCCATAACATTTCGAAGTCATTTGGAGCATACTGCCAGCAAGAGGAGGAGGTGGTCGTGAGCTTCTCCGTCTAACTTTCCATAACTTCTCATCCAAGCTATTATTGGAAATATAAACCAAAATTAATGACCAAGTTGTTGGAAATATAAACCAAAATTAATGTTTAAGTTTTTTGTGTATCTAGTAAATTGTATGGAAGCAAAATCTAGAAAATGCAATAACTCTTGGTGGTTGGTTGTTGAGTCTTTATTATTATTGCATTTCTAAACTGTCACTCAGTAATCTTGCTGTGAATTTCTCTTGAGTGTGCCTTATGAGTCTTTTTGGGAGAGTGTTTTGAGATTGATAAGTGAGAGATCTTATGAGAGGAATTTGTGAGGCGATTCATAAAGTTTCCCAACGGTGTGGATCTCTTGTTTGTTCTTCATAGTTCTTCCCTACTTGAAGGCTCTTGAGAGAGGATTATCAAAGGAGATCGGTCACTAGGATGGTGAGAAAGGACGTCAGTTCTCTGTCGTCACTAGGATGGTGAGAAATAATGTTGGTACTCTACCATCACTAGGAGGGTGAGAAAGGACGGCGGGTTCTCTGCCTTTACCTGGAGGGTGAAAAAGGATGACGATTCACCAGGAGGGTGAAAAAAGATGACAGTTCTCTGCCGCACCGGGTTGGTGGAAGAGAGGTTTTTGTAAGGGCTTCTCCGCCTTATTGTGGGGCTAAAGGAGAGTCACTAGTATTTAGTACAATACCTGGAGAAGGAGTCTCCTAGAGTGGACGTAGGTCTTGTTGGACTGAAACCCTATAAAATTTGGTGTTCTTCTATGCTTTTACTTTTACTGTATTTTAATTTCTGCACATTTATTTTTCATGATTGAAAAAGTACTTTGAGAAAATTTATAATTGTGCTCAAAATCTTTAATCTGTTTTCTACATAACCAAAAAATTTTTAAATTACCAATTCACCTCCCCTTTTGGTTAGCCTTGGGACAATTTCATTAGGTTTAACAACTTACTCAAACTTTCAAGTCTCATGTGCCCTAGCACCATAAGAGATTACAAGCACATGCAAAAATAATGGTATGCCCCCTCTTTCATGATAAGCTCCATAAATGTATTGCTTGGCTCACCTTTTAATCGATAGACGATGGCAATAAAAAGCCCTGATAGAAGGCTCTTATTGTAATCTTGGAGCCCAAGTTTATATTTTGATGATAATAAATATTATAATATTATACTTTATTTCTCCTATATTTTATTATGCATATAATTTTTTGTGTGTACTAATATTTCAAGTTCGGCATGCACCAAGCACCGTCTGAGAATCAGGACTCAAGACAAGGTAATATATGTTTGATTTAAGCAAGAGTATGTACTTTTTATTTTCTTGAGTCAATCAATATAAAAAGGTGCATATCAGCTTAACAACCATGCATACACACACGGGGGGAGTAAAACTTAAAGTTTTAATTTTCCTAAAGATCACACTGGATGATTTGGATCATATTGTGCAAACTGTTCAATAAAAAATAAATTAAAATATTTAAATTAAGAAAATAAAAATTGAAATAAAGATGAACTAATCATATTGTATGATTCAAATCATACTGTAGAATTCAAATCGCACAAGGCGATCATTTATAATTAAAAAAATCATCACCACATTTAATATTATGCAGTATTTTGAAAATTGAATTTTTTGGTTTAATCGTACTGTAAGATTTTATTAAAATCTTGTATAATTTAATCCCTATGATTAAGCAATCAAATCTAAGATAATTAATCATTATGATCATGTGGTACGATTACGATCATAATGCATGACCCACATAGATGATTTTTGTCTGTAATAACCCGAACCGGTTCACCCGTTTGAACCATCCAAACATAAGCTCCTCCTTTGCCCGAATTGCAATGCAATTAAGCTTGCATTCTTTGCCCTCACACACATCTTTCTCTCCAATCATGCAAATCATGCGATTCTTCCGCCTCTTCTTATGATTTTTCTCGTTATGGTCATTACTCTCTCTATTTGAAGCAAAATAGAATATAGGGCATCATTTAACTCCTCTTTTCTCCCTCATAGCAGCCACTACAATCCTTCCTTCTCCTCCCTCCTCGCTCCTTTCTTGCAATAGCAGCCTACAATAAGTACCTTCTCCTATCATGAGTCCACACTCTTCCCTTTTCCCCTCTCCTCCTCTCTTTCTTCTTCTTATAATTTTAGTCACCAAATTAAATAGCTCTTTTTTTATTAATAAGAATTGATTTTTGATTCATATTGATTTTGTACAATCTTGAATTTCTAATAGTTGGATAATGCCTTGTATGAAGGAAATCTTATTTGTGATTAATTATTCATGTTGATTAAATTATATAGTTTTGATCTTTTCATTACCTCATAAATATTACTTTAATAATTAACTTGCTGGGAGGAAACTTTTAACTTATTATCATCTTAATCTGATTAGAATAATTATAGGGTTAATAGTAATCTTTATTATAATTAATGTTAATGCTATCATGGTAGCTAATGTTATTTAGTTGGAATGTTTCCAATGGTGTGTTTATAATTGCTTTGTTCTTTCCTGTTGAACCTTCGAGTAATTTCCCTTTTGGTTGATTATCTTATAGGCTTGGAGTTTTATGTTGCTCACCTAAATGTAAGTAACAATTTTTTTTTTTTTGGATAAATGTACCCTTCTTGGTTAGGGTCCCTATATTCTTATTTCTTGCGATAGATTTTCCAATATTATGTTACTAGTTATATTTCAAATATTAATTAGTATTACGTTATATCAAAAAATCTTATTTATAACTTATATTGAAATTATCATGTGATAGAAATAGTATTATTTTGATTTGTTGATATTTAGCATTTAAAATAATTCATGTTGTAAAAAGTTTAATTCATACACATTAACTTTATTTAATGCAGTGCATGATACTCATATTGTAAATCTTGTTGGTTATATAAATTGTGATTATCATAATGATTTATATAGTACCCGTTGATTATTTATAATCGTATTTTCACTGTATGATTTTGTGTGTGTCGATAGAACTCTATTGGCTTTTGTCTAGCCGTGGTCGACAGGCCCCCAAAGTGATGAATCTATAAGAAATCATTAGGATTTTCTTGGGTTGGTGTTTACCTTTATGGTGATGGGTATATGATAAACAAATAATAGATATAGATGAACAAATATAATAAAATATAAGTGGGCATCACTTGGAAGCAATAAATGACTGATACATCATTTTGAGGTATGATAATATCTGGTGTGGTTGCACTTGTGAGCATTATAATAATTTATATTAATAATAGTTTGGTGAATACATTTATGCATTAGCACATTTAGATTTCTGTTATAGGAAAAATGGCATGTGTCATTACTACTTTGTTTTGATGACTTTAGGTTATTACTTATATAATTTGGTTGTTCATACTACATGCACCACTCCTTTTCTATTTATGCTTTGATAGATATGAGTTACTGGTTGAGTTTGATTTATCAAACTCACATGTTATCTTTTTTAATAGGTCATATAGGTTTGTTTGGTGGACCATCACCTTAGGAGCAGAGTTAATAATAGTAGTCTGTTTTGGTATTTTATATTTTGTAATAGTATATTTTTGTTTTAATTATGAGGGTTGGGTAGTTTCTTTCAAGTTTTTGTTCTTTTTATATTTATGTTAGCTTGTATCATAATTCTTATTATTTGGATGCATTGTCTATTTGAACTTCTATTATTGAATTAGCTCTTAATTTCACTTCCTTTATTTACGATGATGTAGATATATGTCCTGCTGCATCTCTTGTATATGTATGCTTCTCTTTGTGAATACAAAATAGGACTTTCTATCACTTCATTGTGTCTTGTGTTTCTAGGGCGTATAGCCTTTTCGTACCCGAGGTGTGACATTGGTCATCTAGGAGTTCATCTTGGGCAAAATGTGATTCGATTGTACTAATTGTACGGGACGATTAGTGAAAATTTTTGAACTGATCATACAATTCCACTTTCATCATATTGTACTAAAAGGGAGAATTGAACTAATCGTATTATATGATCTTCATATTATACTATAAGAACAGAGATGGCTAAGGGGCTATTTGGTTGTAGGAAAAGAAAATACATAGTATAATAAATACATTAATTTTTTACTTTTTATTGTTTGGTTAGATATAATCTAAAATAAAGTAAAATCCTAAAGTATTCAAAACTCTTCACTGCAGGCCATTTTAAGCGTAAAGTAAAAATTGTACAAATCGAGCTAAAAAGGAATTCACGTGTATGAGAAAGAGGTACGGGAACAAATTATCATTTCTTCCTCCATTGTCGCAGAACCATCGTCATTTCTTCTTGGCTTGTCGTTTCTTCCTCACTTTTCATTTCGATGGCTTCTTCAGCTCCTATTCGACTTCGACGATGTTCCCTTCCTGTTAGATTGAAAGGCACGACATCCCTTCCTTTCAGATCGGAAGGCGCGACATCCGTTTCACAATTATGGGAGCTTGCTCACTATGAAGGTAAATATCCTTCTCCCTTTTACCCGCTTCTTTGGCCAAATCTCATAAATCCATGAATTTTTTGTCAAAAGGGGGAGATAGAGTTATAGATCGTCAAATACCTTTTGTGTTCTTATGCATTGTGGTCGAACTCATAGGAGAGCAAAGCGTGAGATGGATCGCAACATGCTACTCAAAACGAGAGGATTTAGATGCAGCTAATCGAGAGCTCGACATGGAGGAGCTACAGATCGAGGAGGTTGATGAAGCGCCTCCTCCGATGATGATAATGACATTCCATTTCTGTCCGATCAAAGATCTCAACACTTATTTTTTGTCTTTGTTGTTTCATCATTGTTTTTTTTGTGCTTGTTATCTATATAACTTTTAGAGAGAAATAGATAGATTTTACTTTACTTTTCATGCACTCAACCAAACAAAAAAAAAATAGTTCCCCTACATTGAGTATACATACAACCAAACAACCTCAAGTATTTACTTTAGATTACATTTATTTTACATTGTATTCACTTTACGACCAATCAAACATCCCCTAAATTAAAAATTAGGGTTTTCTTGGAGCATATTATTTAAACATCTCTTATTTCGTGAGAAAAATTCTTTGATGGTCAAGGGGTGTGTGACTTTTGTAAGAAAGGGTTTGAAGATATGGTTCTAAGGGAGAGAGAAAGGTGAAGTTGTGAGAGGGAGAATAATCTTGTGGGATCAAGGGAGTGTGAGAAAGAGTCAACACACAATTATTCCGGCCAACATCAATCTTCTTCCTCCATGAGTCAAAGCTTTGCTTGAGGGTAACTCCGAGAAGAACCTTGATCTTCGTGTAAAAAAACCATCAATAACTACTCCTCACTAGGGAAGGTGAAAGGGATTCGGCTACTCCACCACACCGTAGAAGTAAAAGGGATTCGGCTACTCCACTGCACTAGGGAAATGTGAAAGTAATTCTCTGCCTTATTGTGGGGGCAAAAGGATGAAAGTTTGTTAGAGATGTTAAGCCCTATGGAAATGGCCTGAGGCTAACCAAGAGGGGGGGGGGGGGGGGGGGGGTGGGTTGTGGGGGGGAGGGGGTGAATTGGTATTTAAAAATTTCTTTAAGCAAAAAGAATGATTATCACAAACCAAATCACCACAAAAATAAGTGCGGAAGTAAATAAATGCGGAAGCAGTAAAAACAAGAACACAAGGATTTATAGTGGTTCAGTCAACTCGACCTACGTCCACTCCCCAGAGGTGCCCTCCGAGTATTGCACTACAAACGTGACTCTCCTTTAGCCCCTACGGCTAGGCGGAGAAGCCCTCATAAAAACACCTCTTTTTTGCCACACCCGATAAGGCAGAGAACCCAACTCCTTTTGCTTCCTCCTAAAGCAGGCAGAGAACCACGATCACTTGCTGAAACTTACCTCTCTCAACCCTTCCAAGGACAACAGACTCTAGGGAAGAAGAAGTGGAACAATGCTTGGAGCAACCCTTGTGAATCCCCTCACAAGCTCCCCCTCAGAAGATCCTCTCTCTCTCCCCCTCTCTCTCTCTCTCCTTTAGGTTTTCTTATGTCAAGACAGTAGCCAAGAATGTTCAAAAACATTGAACAAGAGCTCTTATAAAGAAGAGCTCAAAAAGCTCATTAATTGTAAGTTGCCGACTATATCATCCTAGACGATATGGAAATCATCCTGGCCGATCAGTACAAATCTCAAAAGATCGGCCAGAGCATCGCCCTGAATACCAACTGGATGATTGAAAATTGTCTTGATCGTCTAGGACGATCTCACGATTATCCTGGCTAATTAGTTCAAATCAGAGGAAAATCGTCCAGAGCATCGCCCTGAATTCAAGCTGTCAGATCCAGATCGTCCGGCACATCGCCCTGAATTTGTGCTAGTCGATATTTATCGTCCAGGAGTGATTAAGGATTTTAGAATCGATTGTCCCGGCTGATCTTACGATCGTCCAGGATGATATGATCGTATCAATTATCCTTAATTACCTCATTGATTGTCTGATCAATTAAGGCATAATTGTGAATATCGTACAGGCTGATACAAGATCGTTCTGGCCGATTACCAAAAATATAGAATACCTTAATTATTTATGGAGGAAATTTCTTTCTGTTTTGAGCTTATCGTCCAGGCCGATTGGCTAATGACGGCTGCCTTAATTAAGAACCCCTGATTAGATTCTCTGTTTTAAGCCAGATTATCCAGGACGATGTAAATATCGTCCTGGCCGATATGAGCAGAAAATAGAAATTCTAAGTATCTCAAGTGTGTGTGTGTGTGGGGGGGGGGTTACTTTGCATCAGTCACACCAAAGATTACAATTGACTCAAGAAGGAAAAAAATAAAATTACAGACTGACTCAAACCTAATCTATCCATTCTTGAGCTGGCTCTATTTTTACATCCAATCTTTGATTCCAAAAAAGTCAGTAGTAAAAGGCAGTCCAAGACAAGTAAGAGTATTTGTCAATCATCAAAACATAATTCATGGATCTGAATTTGCAACAATCTCCTCCTTTTTTATGATGGAAAAATACTATGATAAATATTTAAAAAATAACAGTATAACAAATGGAATTGAAAGTGCAAGAACTATCCTAAAACTACTCCCCCTTTTGATATCTCAAAAAGGAGGGAATTAAGAACTAAAGCAAATCACAAGACACTCCTTTTTTTTTTCCAAGGCATGAAGATGATGTAGTATTCCATGTGATTGATTTTAAAAACTTGTGAGTTAATGAGTTAACAACATCAATAATCCAAAGAACGGTAGAATATTTGATCATGGTTACCCTTAGCTCGAACTTTCTCTTAGGGTAGAATCGTCTTTTGAAATCAATGACCTAACTCAAAAAAATCAATTGGATATGAGAAAAAAGAATTCATTCATCACTTAGTTTAAGAAAAAAATATCTTATAGAATAATGAACCAAAGTAAATTTGTCACAATCGCAAAACAATCGAAATCAAGTCTTCGATACATGAAAACTTCTAAGTTTTAAAAGATTTGAAAAGAGAGAATAGCTTACCTTTTAGTGGGCTCATTTTATGCCTCTTGTCACTTTGATTGGCTCTTTGAGCATCTTGATTTTTGATACACTTTCGTATATATACTTTTCTTTTCAATTTGGCGCCATTGGCCATATTTTTTTTTAATTTTTGCAAGCTAAATTCACTTTTTCAATCTCTTAAAAAAGAATTCTTAGTTGTGAGTCTATCTTCTAGATATTAGAGAATAGGAGGTCTCTCTCTAGCATAGGGAAGAACTATCCACAAAACAGAATCAATAACCAATGACAAGAGTAACGAGGAATCTTGATGTGACAAAAAGACTTTAAGTATTATGAATACAAGATATATTTGCTTAAGCGAGTTTAGAAAGGATCTAAATTTCATACACAATCTTTAATTTGAAATAAATTTTTGATTAGA